CCCCGCAGCCGGGCCTCCACCCCACGCAGCGCAGCCGGAGCTCGGCCGCCCCCTCCTCTGTCTCTGGGGCCCGGGGCTGCACCGACAGCTGGGGCAGGGGCTCTGGAGGGGAGAATCCGGAGGGATCAGGACCGTCTGGGAGCTTGGCCCTTGGGCCCCCCTTCTCTGTACCAGCTACTGCCTCCTCTTCACCCCATTGCTCATTGCCCCTGAATCTCTTCCCTCGGAGCCCTGTTCCTTATGACCCGGGCGTCCAGGCCCAGCCTCCTCCCTCGGATCCGGGGTTCGGGCCCCTCTCGCCTCCCATCCAGGGTCCCCTTCCTGTAGGGAGGACAGTTTCGTGGCTGGCCCAAGGGCCTTGAAGCAACCTGCACCGCGGTCCACTTACCGAACACGCCCACCACGAACTCCCGGGCTTGCCGAGCGAACCCGCCCTGGATGACCTCCACCGTGTAGACGCCCGCGTCATCCAGCTGGGCAGAGGCCAGTTCCAGACCCCCCTGTGCCTGGTCAAAGCGCAGGCGCGCTTGGTGCTTAGGGTCCAGGCTGATCAGGGGGGCCCCCGGCCCCAGGCCGCCAGCGGCCAGCACCTTGGAGCCCTGACGCCAGACCACCAGGGGGTTAGGGGGGCCGGGTTGGGGCACTGGATCCAGGGGCAGCCGGATGGTGGTCCCCACCAGCACAGCCAGGGGTCCCCCCACCTGCTGGGGGAAGCTCACAGCTGGGTGAGTCTCCAGGGAAACTTTGGATTCGGGGTTCCCGCCGGAGTGTTCGTGGTCCAGGTCTTTAGTGGGGAGCTTTGAGCCTGAGGCCCCAGCAGGTACTTTGGTGTCCTGGACTTGAGTGGAAGTGTTTGAAGTTGGGGTCTTAACGGAGGAGGGACGTGCAGGGCCTCTGGCAGGAACTTGAGGGTCCAGGGTGCTAGGAAATGCTTCAGAGCCAGGCGTTTCAGAGAAGGTGAAACCTGAGCTGGAAACATCTGACCCTAAGGACTGCGGCACCGCCTTCGGATCCAGGGCCTCTGGAGACCAGCGGGAATCGGAGGCTCCAGCAGAGGCCGGTGACCCTGGAGACGGGAGGCTGGCGCCGTTAATGGGGGGCGCTTTCGAAGTGTGGCCTTGGGAGGAGGAGTTGATGGAGTCCGAAGAGGAGGAGGAAAGGGTGGGACTGGTTTGCTGAAGTCCAGGAGTGGCAAGGACCCCTATTCAGAAGACCGGAGAAGAAAGCAGGGAGGGGAGGCATTGGCGAGGCTGCTGGGAAAGGCACCGGTGGGAGGGGGCGAAGGGAACTTACCCAGGAGCAGGAGTGGCAGAGCCCACGAGGTGTCCATGATGCTGGCGGCACCTGGGAGGACACTGGGAGAGCCAGGACCTGCGCCTGTTCCTCCCGGGCAGGACAAGTCCGACAGGACTGGTAGCTTAGCTTCCTGGGCGGGGGAAGGCAGCTGAATCCAGCAGGAGGTGCTGGGGTTCCCCCCACCCCACCTGGTGGTAGAGCCACCCCGCTTCTGGTCTTCACCTGCTGGCCCTGTCTGTGGGAAGACCCCCAGCTCTGCACTCCCACCTGCAGGGGAAGACGGGGAGAACAGAGTTCCGCCTGCAAATGGGCGGCCCGTCTTGGGACAAGAGCCAGGAAGGTTTCCTAGAGCAGGATGAGACGGAGTTTGGAAAGCTCACCTGCTGATGGCCTCCTGCTCCCTGGCCTGTTTCTGGTCTGCTCTGTCTGCCTGAGCCTCAGATGTCTATGTCTGCCCCCCGCATCTCCCCTGGATCCCTATTGTCCCCAGACCCAGTGTCAAGTTCCTGCCTCCCAGAGTCGTGTTTCCCGGCCTCAGACCCTCACAGCTCTGCATCCCTGCCCTCCAGCCCCGCTGCCTTCCTGCTTGTGGCTCAGTGATCTCCGCTGGTGCCGGGGACCCTTCCCACCGAGGCTCTTTCTGCGTCAGAGCTGAGCCTGCCCTCTCCAGGGCCCTCCGGGGGTGACCCCGCTCCTCAGCGGACCCCGCCCCACCTGCTGACTCCAGCACCCCTGTGCCGCCTCTCAGCTCCTAGCCCTTATGCGGTTTCCTCCACTGCCCTGTTCTCTCGCTCCCCATGCTCCCACCCCGGCTCACCCACAACTTGTCCTTCAGGTCTCTCTTTATTAAGAACAATAACACTAATTACTGCTTATGTTGTCCCAGGAACCGTGCTAAATTCTTCCCTGCCTTCTGGGGCTGAGCCCTTTCTGATGTCTTCTGCGCTGGGCGTCGGTCCTCCCCTTACAGACCAGCCACCAGGGTGCACGACACGCCAGGGACCTGCGCTGGAAGAAGCTGGGCTCAGGCCCTGGCTGCTCAGAATGCTCTGTCCTTCCAAAGTCTTTCTGACCTTCATGCTGGGCCTAGGGCCTCCGTTCAGCTGCCAGCCCTCTGAGATGCACATCATCCTTACCACGCTGATGGTAATCACGTTGATAAGAGGTGTGAGTGAAATTCATGATACGTGGAATAAAGTCGCATTGCCATTAATTCCCCTTAAAACCTTCCCCCTCGTTTTGAACACATCCCACTGTTCTGGGCACTGTCAGACATGGTTCTGGGGTCCCCTCTCCCGAGTCTTTATGCGCTGTGATCAAAGCTATGAGGAGCGCTGCTGCTCTCGGGCAACCAGGCTCACCCCAGCTTTTCGGAGGGTCCCCATGCGCCTGAGCTGGCACCAGGCGGTTTCTGGTGCCAGGCATCAAAATAATCATTTTGCCAAAACTGCCAGAATCAAAAATAATGATGAAAGGTAACCATTTTGAAGAGATTGGGCACCCAGGCAGCCACAGCAGCAAAACTGAATGACACTCACTGAAAGGACGTCCAGAGCTGCTTCAGAAACTGGGGAGAACAATGGGATGGCTGTGCTTGAAACTGGGGGTACCTTATGGGGAGCTGACGGCAGTATGACCCTTACTGTAGCAGATCTTGTCAAACGTTGTTGTTTGACCACACCTCGTGTAAGCGGAGCATTTTCTGTGTATCAGGCGTGGCTATGGAAATGCTGCATCAATTAACCTCTCCAAACCCACCGGGGTAGGCGTTGTGGCCTAGTGGCGGCTGCACACTCGACGCTGCACTCGCGAAGCGGGGTCTGTGTTCCGACCGCGATCCCAAGAGGGTCAGTGGAGGTGGACCTGGGCCGCTTCCTGCTTCTGGACCGTCTCGTTTCACTTCCTGTTATTGTACCGCCCTCCCTCTGGGACCGCAGCCGCCGTGCTGGGGCCAAACGGCTCACACAGAAGGATCACGGCCCTGATCGCCGCCCTGGCTGAGTCCTCTAGGCAATGCGGTGTGACGAAAGAGCCCCAGCCAACTTTCCGGCCATGAGAATGAGATGCTCAAGAGTCCACCCTGTGGCCCGCTTCCAGTCACCCCAACTGATGCTGCGTGGAGGGGACAAGCCTGTGTCTGCTCTGGTTCAGACTTACAGGCAAAAAGTGAATCCACCAATTTTGGGGGTGGTTTGTTATACTGCACAAGACAACCAGGCTGGGCATGGTGGTGCATGCCTGTAATCCCAGCACTTAGGAGGCAGAGGCAGGAGGATTTCTGAGTTCAAGGTCAGCCCTGAACTACATCATGAGAACCTGTCAAAAAAGAAAGAAAAGAAAAAACCAGCACACAGGTACTACTTTTTTTTTTGTCTTGGGGATTGACTGAACTGCATCCCCAGCCCTTTCTATACTTTTTATTCTGAGACAAGGTCTCACTAAGTCACCAAGTTGCCCAGGCTGGGCTTGAACTTGTGATCCTCCTGCCTCAGCCTCCCCAAGTGCAGGGATGACAGGGGGCACAGGCACCCCGTTATTACTCATTCTACCCGAGGAAAGATGAACTGAGGCTGCCTGGGAGCCTCCTTGACCCCACTGTCCTGGCCAGGTGCCTCATCCTCGTCCCATATTCCTCTGCCGCCCTATCCCCTCAGTAACCAGAGGGACATGACTCAGCTGGCTTCCGGCCTCGCCCGCACAGGACCAGGCACATGGGGATTTAAAGAAATGTCTGCTGAATGAATCAAAGGCAGGACCTCCGAGGAGTGAAGTAATGCACACAGACGTCACGAGAGGCATAGCTTTATTGCTGCGTGTCAGAGAGGGGGCTCAAATCCGCCCGACCTCCTTCAGCTTGGCCACCAGGTCTTCCGTGCTCTCTACCTTGACACCGGCCATGCGCTGGGGCGGGTCCTCCACGCTGACCACGGTGAGCTTGGAGCTCATGTCCACACCCAGGTCGCCGGCCTTGATCACCTCGATCTTCTTCTTCTTGGCTTTCTGCATGTGGGGAGCCAACAGGGCTGTCGAAACCCCACCCAGTCCCCCAAAACCTCCTTCCCATGGTGCCACAGTGCAGAACCATACCCCCAGCCTCCAGAATGACCAGGATGTGTGTGCACAGGGTACAGACAATTCCTGTTGGCTGTGATGGCCCAGGAGGCTACGCTATGCCAGCTGCCCTTTAGCAAAGGCCCACAGCGAGCCCCGTGTTGGCCAGTAGGGACTGACTTAGTCAGTAGGCAGTAATGACCCAATGGACTCAGGACACTTCCCATTGGCTAGCCAGCCACTGCAGGCTCCTCATTGGCTAGATGACCCACTGAACCCTCCCTTTTGGCTGAGAGGATACATTGGACATTTTCTATTGGCTGGAATGACCCCCCAGATTCTGCATATCATCCAGGATGAACTCTTCCTATTGGCCTCTCCTTGTTCATCCTAACTTACCCCTGGCAGAAACTACCAAAGGAACCTTCCCTGATGAACCAAAAGGACTGAACACAGCTCTTCCTTGGGCCAAGAGGGCCCAGTGAACTTGCTCATGGGCCGGATGGCAAGCAGAGGCCCCTGCAGCCAATGAAGCCTTCTGCTGGCTGGGCTGACTGGCCAAGCCTTCCTGTCACCAGACAGCCCCCACGGACGCTCAAGCCCCTCGACATGACCAGGTGAGCTGTCCCGTGGCCCTCCCCGTGCCGTCTGAGCATCGCTGTGCATGGGCAGCCAGGCCCCCCGGCCATGCTGTGCTCACCATGATGTTGGGCAGCGTGGCGTAGCGCGGCTCGTTGAGCCTCAGGTCTGCGGTCACCACAGCCGGCAGCTTCAGGCGAAGGGTCTCCAGGCCCCCGTCGATCTCCCGCTCCACTTTCAGCTTGTCCCCCTCCAGCGTCACCTGGGAGGCGAATGTGCCCTGGGGAGCGACAGCGCAGGAGAGCGGGCGAGGTTAATTCGGCTCAGGCACAGAGCAGTCCTCGGATGCAGCTGCCTCACAGAGGCAAGTGGACAGATGGGCCAGGAAGGGACGGAGAGTCCTGCAAGATGCAAAATCGGGGGAGCGACAGGCAGAAAGGGACCTGAGCCATCCTGGAGGGCCGCTCCCTTTCCCGAACCGCCCTTTAGGTCCCCTCAGTCAGAGTGGCCAGTGCGGAGCGGAGAGTGGAGGGCCGGGAATTTGGCTCCGTGGTGCCGCCAGGGAGGGCCGCCCTTTCCCGAACCGCCCTTTAGGTCCCCTCAGTCAGAGTGGCCAGTGCGGAGCGGAGAGTGGAGGGCCGGGAATTTGGCTCTGTGGTGCCGCCGCCGCCTGCCTCACAAGCGAAAGGACCCAAGTCCAATCTCTGGTACCAAAAAAAAAAGAGTGGGAGTGGATGTGTGTGAGAGCTGAGCCCTGTTCTAAGCAACTGGGTTCCCCAAAATAAGACCTAAGGGACCCACCTAACCCAAAGCAGCCCTAGCTGCTCGTTACCATGGTGACAGCCAGTGTCTGGCTGGTTATACCTCACTACTCTCTTCCTGTGGCCGCTGTGTAATGGGAGGGAAGGCAAGGAGAGGCTGACCAGGGCTGGCACTTTTTTTTTCCTGGTTAGGTCTCATTTTAGGAGAAACATGGAATTTACATGTAGTTGTATCACATCCACTTGGAAATCTGAGATAAATGATATTATTCACACTTGGCAGATTTGGGAACTGAGGCAGCAGGGGACGAGTAACACGGCCCTGAAAGCTGGCTCCCAGTGAGGCCCCTCCGCTGGGCGAGCCACAGAACGTCCTGTGCTCTGCTTGCCGTGGTCCTTCAGCTGCCCTCTGCGGCCCCTTCTCTGGTCATGGCCCCTCTGCCCTGAGTCCTGAATCAACAGGAGCTCCCTGGGCAGGGGCACGACTCACACTCTCTTGCTCACAGTTTGGCTGTCACATGATCACAGCCTCACCCAGGGGGCCCTGAGCCCAACTCCGGGGACACAGATGTATCGCGGTGAGTGAAAAGTGTGGGAGACCACCTGTGGGTCATGCCCAAAGCAGGCTGTGAGCAGTGCAGGCTGTAAAGAGTTAGCCCCACAACTGGCTCGTTTTAAGAAGTGAGGCCACAAGGACAGGAGTTCAATCCTCAGTACCAAAAAAAAAAAAAAAGAAGCGAGTCTGACTGAAGCTTATACAAGTCACAGAAGCAACTCTCAGAAGCACTGCAGGTCAGCGCGACCTTCCCACTAATGCCACAGCAGAGACCAGAGAAACGGCCTGGGAAACACAGGGCTCAGTCTGAGGTAACATCGTAGCCGAGGTCTGAGTAACTCACACCCAAATTCCGTTCCCGCGACTAAAACCTTCTTAACTAGAAGGACAAGGTTCTAATGACAACCCTATATTTTGTCTATTCTGTTCCTGATTTGAGAATGCTTTGTTTTTTCCTTTATAAGCATCACCTGCATTAGAATCCACAGAAACTACACAACTGCACCTCCTCACACCCATAGTTTCCCTTTACACCAACCAGGTTCCCAGTAAAAACCAGTGGCTTGAACCCGGCACGGTGGCACACGCCTATAATCCCAGCACTCTTGGAAGCAGAGGGAGGCCGGAGGACCAAGGGTTCAAGGCTAGCCTGGGCTACATAGCAAAACTTTGTCTCAAAAAAAATCTAAAAAAAAAAAATCAGTGGCTTGGACTGTCTAGGGCCTGTGTTGGTTGAGTGGCACTGGCCATCCTGGTGCCCCATTTTTCCGTCTCTTTAGTTCTGTCTTTGAGTCTTTCTTCAACCTGGTGGTGTACACAGGCCAGGACACTGGAACCTTCTGCAGGGGTCTCCAGTAGAAAGGCTGAACAGACTACCAATAAATGTGTGCCAAATGAAATGATAAAAGAATTTTAAAATAAAATCTGATACTGGAGATACCCGATCAGGACTGTGGTGCTGGTGTCACAGCGGATGCTTTGGATGGGTGCATTTACCGTAGGTCAGCAATGCTGCAGAAGCTAACGACAAGACCCTCAAGCAGAGACTGGGAAACTCAAGTCCGTCTGGAATAACTCCGGTACACGAACCCACTTTTTCAACTGTGAGCTCTCTGTATCCAAATTAGATCTTTTTGATGAAAAGGTAGTGCCTGGACTGAGATATGCTGTGAACACATCGCATCTCAAAGTCTTGATACAAAAAGAAAAAAGAATGTAAGATACCTCAAATTTTTTTAATATTGGCTATGTGTTAAAATAGCAATATCATACAAATAATGGGGTTAAGATATTATGAAAAGAGCCAGGCATGACGGAACAGGGCTATAATTCCAACTACCTCGGAGACTGAGGCAGGAGAATTGAAAATTCAAGGCCAACCTGGGCAATTCTGAGATTCTGTCTCAAAAATGAAAAATATAAAAGAGCTAGGGATATAGCCTAGTAGTAGAGCACATGTCTAGCATCCACAAGGCTCTGGATTCAATTCCCAGTACTGAAAAAGAAAATTAATGAAATTTCGTTTGTATGTTTCTTTTTACTTTTAAAATGTGGCTAAGAAAACATTACATGGACAGAACTGGAGACCCTGGAGTTGGGGGTGGGTGTGAATTTCCATACAGGGTGAGACAAGAAGGCCCTTCTGAAGAAGAGATAGTGAAGTAAGACCCAAAGGTGAGCAGTGACAAAGCCGTAAAGATGGAAATAGTGTACTCAAAGGAGAAACGGCAAGTGCAAAGGCCCTGAGGCAGGGCTGAGTTTGAGGGATGAGGGCTTGTCCCATGGCAAGCGCTTCCCCCACCAGCCTTACCTGTGGCCAGTCCAGAAGTCCAGCCGTCATCTGACCTGTCTGGTTACAGTCATCATCGATGGCCTGAGTGGGCACAGACAGAAGACTGATGATCCATGAGGCTTCTCACAGTCCTAACATGCCTCTTAGAACAGGAGTCGAGAAACGTTTCCTTATGTCGCCCACCCTGCCCCACCCCAGTACTAAGCATTGAACCCAGGTCCTTTGCACGGAGCAGCATCTCCAGCCCATTTTACTTTTTACTTTGAAACTTGGTTTTACTAAGTCCCTAAGTTCCCCAGGTGGGACTCGAAGTTGTGATCCTCCTGCCTCCCCATCCCAGAGGCCTGGGATTATAGATGTGTGCCACCTCCCATAGCTAGCAAACACTTTCTGTAATGAGCCAGACAGTAAAGGCTTTGCTACTTACATGGTCCCTGTCACAATTCATTAATTACTAAGCCCTGCCACTGCAGTGCCTAAGTAACCACAGGCAATACACAAATGGCTGCATGTGGGCGTTCCAACAAAACTTTATTTATAAAACAAGTTAACTATGCCTGGGCCATAAGTTTGCTGACTCCTAGTCTAGGAAGAGCCTCCTACTTGGACACAGAGATAACTAAATCCCGGCCTTCAGCCTTCGCATGAACATTCATGTGAGCCTCCCTCCAGCCAGGCCCTGTGCCACCACATCCAGAATCTCGGCCAAGGCGGATGTCCTAACCTCTGACCTAGCAGTTGGTTCAGGGATAGACAGGACTGCAATTGGGCCGGTGAAGGCGGCAGTGCCCGGAACCTGTCTGGAGCCCCCAGGAGAGAGGTTCTGCTCTTTCTGCTGGGCTGCTAGGTCAGTGGGACGTGAGCAGGGGCCGCAGAGAATGAGACCCGATGGAGAAGCGCTCGGAGATCAGGCCACCCTGGAGCACACCGTGCCTGAAGGCTGCCTCTGCGGCCTCTAAATGCACTGCAGGGCTCTGGGCAGTTTGAGCTGTGGCTCTGCTGTGCCAACCTGAGACCCGTTCATGTTCCATCTCCCCGGCTGCCGGTCGGACCCAGGAACTGTCCCTGACAGCCAGGGTGGCAGAAGTCCACCTGCGCAGATAGGGCCTGGGTTTACCAATTTGTCCTCTGACTCCCCTGCTGACATCCGTGACACCCGGTCACCCACCTGGGCCGGTCTGCCTCTCCTCCTCTGGGCCCCTGCCTCTCCCCACTGGAGCCCCAGCTCTCTGAGCCTCCCCTGGCCTGTTGTTTCTGTGCCTCATTTTACCTTGAAAAAGAGGTAAAAGGAAAAGTTTAAAAAAAAGAAAGAAAGTAAATTACTGGGCATGGGGTACACGCCTATAATCCTAGAACTCCGGAGGCTGAGGCAGGCAGATCATCCACACCATGCGCTCAAGGTCAGCCTGAACTACATAGGTGAGCCTGTCTTAATAACAAAACAAACAAACAAAAAGCCCGAACCAACAGAAAAAACAGAACAGGGCAGTGATGGCGAACCTCTTAGAGCTTTCAATGGTAACGAACACCCCGCTGTGGCACGCCACGCGAGCCAGCTCTTTCTCAGCATCCACTTCTAATTCCCACGCTCTCTCTCCCCTGGCCTCGGTGCTCGCAACGCCCTCCTCTGCCGCCCCACTCCAGGTGACAGGAGGCCACAAAGTCTGCCTCAAATGGGCTTGGCCTTGGAGCTGCACCTGAGGAAGACTGGCGTCCTGGGTTCCCCGAGGGAACAGATGGCCAAAGCCACACCCGCCTCGGCTGAGTGCCTGTAGGTCCTGCAGCCAGCCGCCTTCCCCGCTCTGGTCGGCAGTGTCCCTGGGCCGGTCCATCCTGCCCTCTGTGCTGCCCGTCTGCTCCTGCTCTCACCTGCCACGGCTCCCCCTGCCCCGCACACCAAGTTCCACTGTAGGCCCAGGCCTGTCTGTCCTGGTCACGTGTGTCCCGTGTCTCCTCCCAGCCCTGCCCCAGGGCAGCTTCTTCGGGTCCTGTTCTCCCTGGGCTCCCGCCCCCCCTTCTGTGACCCCCCCTCCCTGTCCTCGGCCTGGGCCCAACCACAGCCTCAGGGGCCCCAAGCTCACCACAGGGACCTGGGGGATCGCTGGACACTCAGACAGCGCCCGTGTGCCCCTCTGGCTGTCAGTCCGGGGACGGCTGAGCTGTCACCTCACACCCTTGCTGGGCAGGACCAGGGCACGGAGGAGCTGGCCACACCCACCTGTTTGCCCAGCAGCACCAGGTCCACCTTCTCCCTCTCGGCCAGCTTGGCCAGGACCCGGGCCACCTGCAGGGGACCCACACGGTCGGCTTCCGCAGCTGCTACCTCCACGTGGATGCCTCGGTCTGCACCCATGGCCAGGGCTGTGCGGATGGTCTCCTGCCCGGGAGGAAGGAGTGACATGGGTTCTGTCACAAGGAGGAAAAGGAGGCCGGGCCCGGGATCCTCCTGCCTCGGCCTTGGGGTCCAGGCCCAGCCTCCTCCCTCAGACCGCAGACATCCCGTCCCCTGGCACCTGGCACTGCACGGGGCCACAGCTCACGGCGATGACTTCCTTCACCAGCTTCTTCTCCTTGAGCCGCACAGCCTCCTCCACAGCAATCTCGCAGAAGGGGTTCATGGAGTGCTTTACCCCATCGGTGACGACCCCTGTCTTGTCAGGCTTCACCCGGATCTGCTCAGCAGGGGGAGGGCAGGGTCACACGGCGAGGGCCAGGGCCCGCGTGGCAAGTCTCTGAGGGGGACCGGCCCCCACTCAGTCTCCTGCAGACCTGCCCGGGGGCCGGGACCTCGGGCACGAGCATCCCCAACCGCGTTCCTCCTCGGCTGCGAGTGAATCCTGTTCGCTGCTCCTTGCCCGTGAGATGGACGGAACTTTGCCCCGGGAGCGTTAGAAATATGTCCTTGCAGACACATGTGGCCCCCAGACACCCCGCGCCCTTCCCACGAACGCCAGGCCCTGGCACTCGCTGGCTTGGGGCTGCACCTCTGACTCCAGGGGTTTCCTCCTCTTCCTCCTGTCCTCTCTCCCTCATACAAGGACTTGAGATGGCAGTTAGGGGCACCTAGATAACCCGGGATAAGCACCTGCCCCCGAGATCCTTCCCTTCGTGACAGCGGCGAATGCCCTCCTCGGAGCCGTGCACCTGCAGCGCTGGGGAGCTGTCAGAGGGCGACAGCGGACCAGCCTGGTCTGAGGTGGGGGACTGAAGGCCTCACCGCCCTGGACAGAGACTGAAGATGAACAAGACTGACTCGTGTCCACAGCAGGTGCCAAGGCCCTGGGGTAGGAAGCAGCAGGGGCCGTGTGAGGTACACAGAAGCCCGTGTAGGCAGTGGGAGGCACAGTGGCCTTGGGCTTCACCGCCGTGACAGGTACAGCAACAGCCCATCTAAGGGGGGTGACCCTTAGATGGCAAAAGGGACCTTGCGGATGTGACTGAATTCAAGTTTTCAAGACAGGAAGTACCTACATCCTCTGGGCTTTATGAAAGTCAGAGCTGGGGGCTGGGGCATGAGGTGCTGGCCTTGAAGATGGAGGACGGGCCTCGGGCAAGGAAGGCAGAAGAGGAGAAGTGGAGGCTGGAGGGAAACAACTGCCCAGGGCTGCAGGAGCTGCAGAGGGCCTCACTCGTGGGGTTGCAGGAGGGGCAAAGGGAGGCTGGGTCCAACTCAAGTTCCAGAACTTTCTGGACTCTGGGTGGGGAAAACTGGAAGATACAGGAAGTGGTTATCTGGGCCACCGCGGGTCACTGCAGAGATGGCCAGGGATGGGCGCACTGGGCAGGACGTCTGAGGTGCAAGTGACCGCCCTGGTGCGGGGCAGAACAGCGAGCTCGTGCGGCCGGCTCTGGGGCTCGCGGTCTGAGCCTCGGATTGGAGGGTGGGAGCTGGCAGAGCCAGGACCAGCGCCCCTCTTCCCCAGTGGCCCCATCAAGGGCTTCGCTGAGGTAACCTGGGGGACAGGGGGGCAGCCCTGCTCCCTCTCACTGGGTCCCTGCCTCCTTTCCCGTGGGGCTGGGGTGGGGCAGCTCCTCCTCTGGGCAGGAAGGAATCAGATGGAAGGTGGGATTTGCTTGGAGGTTTTCCAGACTGAATGTGCCCCTCGGAGTGGGAGACAGTAAAGGACAGAGGAGGAGAGAGGGGTGAGGAGGAGGACGGCCATCATTGTTTTCAATTACTGCTATCCCTATACTTGGGGAGGCTGAGGCAGGAAGATCACAAGTTTGAGGGCCAGGATTTAGTTCAGTGGTGCTGCCTCTCAAGCACAAGGGCCTGAGTTCCATCCTGGGTACCAAAAAAAAAAAAAAAGA